GTCATACAGAGTGAAGTAGGTCAGAAAGAGAAAGACAAATACCGTATGCTAACACATATATATGGAATCTAAAAAAAAAAAAAAAAGGAACTGAAAGTGAAACTGTCCGGAGGAAGCAGCGCTGCAAGAAGACCCCAGAGTCCCTAAGGGAGAAGCAGCCCCAGAGTTTCGAGACCACCTACCCCTCCATCCTCAAACCTGGGGAGGAAGTGCCCCTCTGAGGCTTGCAGCGCTGACAGCAGAAGGAAGCAATGAAACAGAGGCCAGGGCACAGGAGGCGTCTCTATAGCCCACAGCTGTCAGACAGGGGCAGCCTCCGAGGACACCCAGCAACGGGATCAGGCTACTTATTCAAATCTTATTTGGACATCGGGAAGCATTTCCTGAGCATTAGGGGTATGCGACACGGAAAGCTAGGGCTAGGATGTTGTGGCGTGCACGCTCAGGGAACGAGGGCCCTGCAAGAGCCCTAAGTCTCGACACAAAGGGAAAAAGAATCAAGTTCGCAAAGAAGTCAGGCGCCTAGACCTTGCCTGAGAATGCGGCGTCTCCCTGCAGGCCCAGCAACCAGTAGGCGCTCAGCAGCTGAGCGCCGGCCAGGCGCGAGATCAGGAGCCCGCGCGGTGACCTGGCCAGCCCGGCCGGGCTCACCCCCAGCCTCCGCTGATCCGCAGAGGTAGGAAAGGACACCGGGAGCTCAGCGGGCCCCGCAGTGTCCGGCCCAACGGCTCGCGGATAGCAGCGCGGGAGGGCGGGGACTTGTGCGCCCGGGGGCGGGGAGTGAGTTCGGCCCACAAAAGGGGGAGATAACGAACCAGGCACGGCCCCCTCCCTCAATACAAAGGCTTCCGCCCCAGGAGTTCCTGAACCTAAAAAGACAGAAACAAAATCGAGGCTGCTCTGCCTCGCCGGCGCACCCAGTCTCCAGACTCCCGCCGTGTCCTGCACTCACCGGCCGAGGCAGCTTCAGCCGCCGATCTCCCCCAACCGTGTTCTCCCTCTCCGGATTGGGGTATCTCCAAAGACAGCTGATCATGCGCACTGCCGGCCCGCGCCCATGTTGGTGAGGGGCGGAAGTGTCTCTCTGGACCCGCCCAGCCTACTCAGCCTCTGAATCGCCCCACTTCCGTTCGCTCCATCTTGATGAGGGCTTGGATGGGGGCGTGTTGTGGGTGTGGCTGGGGCGGGGAAGAAGCAAGGCTCTGGGATCTCCGGAGAATGGCTCTGAAGTCGTAGTCGCTCTCGTCCTAGTCCAAGAACGAGAGAAGGACGACTAACTTGGTGCTACCATTTTTCTGCTGGACAGTGCCTTTTTAGTTCCAGGAGAAGGGAGTGAGAGAGGAGAGCTTAGATCAAGAGAGGGACATCGGATGGAGGCGCCATCTTTAACAAAGGACATCTTTTTAAAGTTTTCTGTTGGAGATTAGGACATATCTGGGCATACATAGAATTTGTATTAGCGTTAGCGGTCACCCAAACACCCCCAAGGCTTATGGTTTTTGTGAGGCTCAGAGTTTCTGTGAGAGGTATCTTGATTCCCATTCTTTTCAGTCAAGACCCACCCTTAATGGATTCGGAGTAGTGTGGTGTAATAGGAAGAGTTCACACTCTGGAGCCAGACAAACTCGGGTCTCAGACCTAACCTCTGCCACTTCTTAGTTCTGAGACTTTTGGCAGCATCTGACTTAACATTGGTTTCCTCATCTGTAAATGGAGATTACAAGTACCAACCTTATAGAATTATTAGGTGGACCAAATAAAATCAAGAGCGTAGATTCTGTGCACATAGACTACCTAGCCTTTACTGGCATATAATGAGCATTATGTAAATGTAAGTTTCTCTTCCCCATTTCCTGACCACCACGAACCCAGCTCTAGTTTCTCGCTACAGGTCTTCACGACAACAACTGAGGAAGAGCGCCCAAACAATAAAAACAGAAAAACACAACGTTTGGCCAAACGTATCACTCAAGACTTTAATAAGAATAATGAGACACCACACTACTTATGTGTAAAAATACAACGTTTATTCTGAGACATTGCCCCTTGGGACGTGTGGCCCCAGCCTGTCGGGAAAAGCAGTCCCAGGGCCTGAGTGACGCCATTCCCCTTCCCTAAAATAGGAAGTTATTCCAAAGGAGAAAGGAGAGGCCAGAGAGATCTATACAAGACCTCTCTTCCTTGAGATGCAGGGAGGCAGAGGGTGGGGGAGCTAGGAAGGGAGCCAGTCCCTCCAACAAATACTCCGCATTCAAAGAGCTTCCTGCACATTTTCCTCCTAATGTGGAGTTAAGAGGAGCAAGAGGTGTCCCAGGGCCCAAGAGTAGAACAAGGATGGGTAACTCTAGAAGTGTTTGTATGTAATAGGCTCTGATCTGGCCCTGACCCCTGGCTGTACTCTGGACTTCCATGAAGAGAAGTTCATTGCCTAAGAGGGCCGGAACTTGGCTGGAGTTCTGCCTTCATTCTTCACATTGAGAAACCGTTAAGTTTGCCGCCTACTCTTTGTTCCCTTTGGCCAATGACCCCACTCTCTGGGAACAGGATCTCGGTGACTTTCTCTGGACTCTTGTAAGGGATAAGTGCTTTGTGTCTGAGACAACCTCAGGTAAACGGACCAAGGCGTGCCTTCCACAGTCATAAAGAGAAGCTGGAGGGCCAAAACATATAAAGTTGGGCACTAAAGCTGCTCAGGCTGCCGAAGAGACAGCAGAGAGAACCTGGAGACAGCTACTGTCCCCTATGCCCAGTGCTCTGGTCCGAATCACAGTCCCTCACCTTTCCCAGAGTTAGCCTGTGTTTCAAATGCGTACGATCGGCGCTGGGGGGACTCAACGGGGTCAGGGAGCTGGGGTTCTCTCGGGGGCAGACTAAACCGACTCCGGGGTCCAGACCCTTCTGTACATTCAGCTGGGAGCTCCAGGCAGCTAAGGGGCCGAGGACAACAGGCAGGGATCATGCTATAGGGGGAGGTTTTGGGGATGAGGCTGTAGTCCCCAGCCCCAGTACAGGTCTGGGTCCGCCGAACTGCCTGAGCTTCAGTCCTCTGGCGGTCCCGGGCCAGGGCCACAGCAGCATCAAAGGAAAGACTGCCCCCATTCCTCCAAGAGGAGCGGGAGGCTCGGGACCCCCAGGCCCGTTCCCCAGGAGTTCCATCGAGCCGGCCAGGCCTTGGGCATGGGTTTGCTGGTGCCACATGGATCTTGCCACACATTGCACTGGGCATCTTGGCAAACTGTGGTTTGGGGGGCACCACAGGTACAGAGCGGACCTGTTGGACCTGAACCAGGGTGGAAGCCAGGCGCATGCTCACACCACCAGCTGAGCCAAGGGGACTGGGCTGCCCCTCTGGATCCATCTCCTCTGGCCGGGGTGGCTGTGGGGCTGCGTGTTCTGTCTCAGAGGGCTGGGCATTGCCCTCTTTGGCACTGTCGACCTCCAGGGACTCTACATGTGGCACTTCAGGGAGGGAGCCCCCTTCTACATGGCCACCTCCAGCCCTCTGGTCTCCCTCCGCTTCTCCGTCTCCACACTCCCGTTCCTTGCTGACCTTCCCTGCTCCTCCTTCAGCTGCTGCTTCTGGGATTCTGCTATCTTCACCATCTCCTTGGTCTTCTCTTGCCTCTTGGTTCTCATCCCCCCTCTGCCCTTTGACCTCATCTTCTCTGCCTCCTTCAGCCTCTTGTTTGTGTACAACTTCCCAGCTCTCTTCAGCGAGTTGGTTTTCCTGGGCCCCATTCTCTGGGTCCCTCCCGGCTTCTCCCTGGGCTTCATCTCCTTCCTCAGCCTCCTCATCTCGCTCAGTCTTTCTTTCGTTCCCCTTGTCTTTACCCTGCTCCCCTCCTGTTTCCTCCACTCCCTTAGCTTCCTCCGTACTCTCATCCTCCTGCTGACCTTTGGACTCCTCTCCCTTGGCCTCTGTCTCCTCTCTCTCTTCCCCACATCTTTCGCTCAAACTGTCAATCACCTTTTGGCTTCCCTCAGCCTCCACTCCTTCCTCACTGGCCTCTCCACCCTCCACTCCACTCTCTGGACTCCCCTCAGCCTCCTCCCTGATGTCCCATCTACTTCCAGGCTCAGCCTCCTTGCCCTCCTCAACTTCCCAGAATGCCTGTTCTCCCTCCGCCTGTCCTGGAGCCTCCTGTCTTCCAGACCCTGTTCCCTTTCCCTCTAGACTGCCTGAACCCTCCCAGGTCGGGAGTTCGGGCCCCAGAAGGGGACTTAGGTCATCATAGGCACTCAGGAAGACCTCCTCCCCACTTTCCTCCTCTGCTTCAGGCCCGGAGCCAGGAGAGTCCAGGGAACAGCAGCTGGGGGCCAGGACAAACTGCGCCTCATCCAGAGACAGGTCATCCAGGGGTGGCTCCACAGAGAACTCCTCCACCTGTAAGCACAGCATCGTGGCTCAGGACCAGGTGGCCCTGTCCAGCCTCTGGATTCCTTAGCGCCCCCAAACCCAGCACAGTGCCTCCTTACCTGAGGCCCAACTCCCAGGAGCTCCTCCAGGTAGCCCATCCCAGGGTCGTCCTCCCCGGGGGAGAAGGCTGCTCCTGCTGGTCCTGCCTTGGCCACCTCCCCATCCACCACCCCCACCCACTCGGGCTCTGAGCTGCTTGAGTCCTCTAGGAAGGAGAAGGAATCCTGCACCTCCTGGGACAGGCAGTCCTCCAGGGCAGGGGTCATGTCCGCTGGGCCTGAGTCAGCCAGGGGACCTGGGGCTGGACTTGCCTCCAACTTCTCATCTGTTGGGAGAAAGGTAGTCCCAGGAATACAAAGGTCAAGACCAGCCCTGACCCTTTCCAATGTGAGTCTTCCTAGCATTGCTACAGTATGGGCCCAACATTCCCAGCATAGATCCTCCATGTGGCCGATCCTCTCAGACCAATATCCCTAACCATTGGCTTATAGCCACCTTTACTGAGCTCCTACCAGGTGCCAAGCACTGTGCTATACATTTTATAATGCATTATCTTATTTTCTCCATAAAACAACCCTATAATGTAGGGTATTTATCCCCATTTTATATATGAGGAAAGTGACACTCAGAGAGATTTGTCCACGGTCACGCAAACAACGAGTGGCACAGCCAAAATTTGAATCCAAGACTACTTAACTCTATAGCCCTTTTCCTTACCCAGTACCTAGTGCTGCCTCAGTACTTATTATTGACACTTCAGGAACTGGAGTCAGAGCAAAGATCAGATCCCAGCTCTGCCACCTCCTACCAAATTGCTTAACCTAAGTCTCAGGATCCACTGCTGTAATATAAGGATAAAAACAATACCTGTGTCAACATTATGAGAAAATGAAATGAGCTAATGCCTTCAAAGCCCTTAAGAAAGCACATCATAAACTCTCGACTAATGTTAGCTATTAGTATTAATATTATTATTATTACCGTCATCTATGATATATTCCCACTTTGTACTTAGTAATCCCTGCTGTATATATATATGACACAGATCCCCATTCTTGGGTATATCAGTGATCTAAGGCTGCCAGAGATCCTCTCTGCAAGAATTTCACACAACCTGATAATATTACTGGATCTTGAATCCGGGGAGGCAGCTAAAGATAACCAGCCAAAGCCCAGAGCAGATCCCCAACATCGGAGCCTCAGCCTAGAGATCTAGTCCCCTCTCCCAGCCCTGGGACATCCTTGAATCCTCACCTGGGGGACCAGGGCCAAGGCCAGGGCCAGAGCCAGGGCCAGAGGCAGGGCTTGGCCGAGGCTGTAGGGTGGGGTACTCAAGACCACGGGCAAACCCGGCCAAGGAGACGTTCGAGATGATGTTCGGGGATATGTTGAGCATAGAACTGATGTGTGGTGGGAGGTTGACATCGTAGGGCTCTGAGATGTGGACGCCAGCACGGCGCTCTGCATGGCTGCTGCCCCCAGCACGGATTGCTGACCGCCCAGGTCGTGGTGTGCCGGGCTCAGAGCTCGTGCCAGCCAGTGCCTCTGCCTCGGGCTCCTGTTCATCCTCTGCTGCTTCCACAGAATCATTCTCCAAGCTCGCCAGCAACAGTGGGCATGGCCGAG